AGACTCGCTTGAGCCCAGGAGTTGGAGGTTGCTGTGAGCTGTAATGCCACGGCACTCTGCCCAGGGGACAGCTTGAGGCTCTGTCTCAAAAAAATAAAATAAAATAAAAAATAAAAATAAAAATAAAAAAGGCCAGGCACAATCACTCATACCTGTAATCCTAGCGCTTGGGAGGTCAAACTGGGTGGATTGCCTGAGCTCACACATTTGAGACCACCCTGAGCCAGAGCAAGACTTCATCTCTAAATATAGCCAGATGTTGTGGCAGACACCTGTAGTCTCTGCTACTTAGGAGGCTGAGGCAACAGAATTACTTCAGCCCAAGAGTTGGAGGTTGCTGTGAGCTATGACACCAGGTGTACCAAGGGGACAAGGTGAGACTGTCTCCAAAAAAAATAGCAGAGTACGTGATACATTTAGTAGGCAACCAAGTATGATAAATATTACTAAGAATGTTTTAAGAACAAAGTACCCACAATATGGTCCGATCACCATAACCCCACAGCAGTGATTTTCATGAGAGGATCTTAGGTATACAGGGAAATTTTTTTAAGATTTATTAATTTATTTTCAAATAATTTAATTCAAGAAGTTCAAAGCACAGTAAGTACATTCTTTTTGTTTACTCTTTTTAAGCAACATAATTTAAGCATGCCACAGAAGGTCAACTATAGGTTCAAGTGTGCCATGAGATAAAAAAGGTAAAAAAACCCTGCCCTGCAGCGTTTTTCCTAGAGAGCCTTAAGGTCTATGAACAAAAGGCTCATATCCACACCCCACTTGTTACATCAGCCAAGGGACACAAGAACTTCCTTGAACTCCAGACTCATAAATCAAAATCCACTTGCAGATCTCAAAGTTAAGATAACCAAACTCCCTCAAAGCTGATTCTCCTATTATTTTTCCAGAGCTTAGGAAATGAGTCAGTCCATGCTTCTAGTTACTCAAGTCAAAAGACTTAGAAGCATCCTGGCCTCTCTCCTTCTCTCACCCCTACATCTAATCCACCAGGATTATCACGTCAGTTCCACGGTGAAAACAGGTGAGAAGAGAATCCAGCCACATTCACTAACTCCACTGCTCCTCCCCTGGTCCAAGCAGTCACCACTATCAGAACTTAATGTACCAGCTAACAGCCTAACTTAATGTACCCCTAACAGCCTCCATGCTCCCCTCCCACTCCCTTCAATCTTGTTTTCCACAGAGCAGCCTAAATGAGCCTTAAAATATAAATCCTATCAGGTCATTTACATCCATCCCTTCTGTTTTTTGATCAATGTCACTTTTAACAGTGACTTCTTTCCTGACCTATGTCTATGTTTTAAGTCCCCACTTCTGCCTGTAGTCACTGTCCTCCTGACCCTGTTTTCTTACTGTCCATGCCACTTTTCACCAGAGGACATGCTGTTTATGTTGTCTAGTTCTCTTAACAGATGCAAATTCCTCAGGGGGAAGCAATATTCATTGCTATATTCTCAACACCCATAAGAATGACAAATATAACCAGGCGTGGTGGCTCACACCTATAATCCTAGTACCCTGGGAGGCCAAGGCAGGGCAGATTGCTTGAGCTCAGGAGTTCAAGACCAGCCTAAGCAAGAGCAAAACCCCATCTCTATATATAGCCAGGTGTTGTAGTCTTAGCTACTCAGGAGGCTGAGGCAAGAGGATCACTTGAGCCCAAGAGTTTGAGGCTGCTGTGAGCTATGATGCCATGCACTCTACCTGAGTGACAGAGTGAGATTCTGTCTCCAAAAAAAAAAAAAGAGTGACAAATACAAGACTACTACTGCTCTATGTTAGCTAAAGACAAAGTGCACCCAAAATCCAATGAAAAGATAAATTAGGGAGTGATTATTGCTTTTACTAAAAGACTTGATAAAAGATATCCCAATAAAGTACCTTCATAAAATAATTCCTCAAAGTATACTTAAGACTGAGGTAGAGTTCATATAAATCAATTGGGTTTACTCTGCAAAACATCTTGGTGCCTTTTGTTCCAGAACAATAGTTTCATATTGTAGACAAACTAAGGGCCACCAGGAAGTGGTTCACCATTAATTTACATCTGGGTCTTTCCTTTTTTTTTTTTTTTTAGTTCTCCAGACTCCTCAGCTATAAACTTCCTTTTTGTTTTGTTTTTTATTTAAGAATTGAGGGTCCACCCTCTCCCTCTTTCCCTCTGTCTGCTCTCCCCTTCCCCCACCCCAAGATATTCTAAAAAAAAAAAAAAAAAAAAAGAATTGAGGGTCCAACTAATTAATGTTCAGTCCACGTTTAAAACTCTAATTTTAATCAAGTCTCCCATTTATATGCAACTTTCTGAAAATAAATAAGAAAAAATATACAGACATTTAAATACAACTTGGTTTTTTATTTACTGGCAATAAAACAACGTATCAAATGGGCATTCAAAGTGATGTGCTTGCAAACAACGCCTTCTCTCATTTCAGCATGGAGCAATAAAACAAAATATTATAGAAATAAACTTGTTGCTTAAATTTTAAAAGATAAGCACTTCCTATCATCAATGCAATGTTGGCCTATAGATATGCCTTCTATATCTTAACAGTTTCACTTCCCAAACCAAAAATGATATCGTTTTTAGTGCTTGAAAAATAATTTTTTACATAATCCCAATTTTACAGTATGCATCATTTATTAAATGGGAAAGCCAAAATCCCTATGTATGTGTGTAAGTACAATACATATGTATTGATTGCACGGAATACTATTGATTTCATAAAAATTCTTTACACAAATTTTAACATACAGATACATAATGGAACAGCTTCCCTAGAAATACTTATGCATCATCACCCAAAAAACAAATAAGACCAAAAAAAAATTTTTTGAGACAGTCTCACTATGTCATCCTTGGTAGAATGCGTGGCGTCACAGCTCACAGCAGCCTCTAACTATTGGGCTTAGGTGATTCTCTTGCCTCAGCTTCCCAAGTAGCTGGGACTACTGGCGCCCGCCACAACGCAAGGCTATTTTGTTGTTGTTGCTGCAATTTTCACTGCTGTTTAGCATGCCCGGGCCGGATTCGAACCCGCCTGCCTCCGTATGCCGCCGCCCTAACCACTGAGCCCAAAATTATTTTTCTAATTCTTGTACACGGTGAAAACCAATAGCAAAAGCTGGTGAAACGCAATGTACTTCACTGGAATACCCACAATAAGAAGCGAAGTTCTGCTCACAAAAACAGAACCACCAATGATCCTGCTAACCAACCTAGCTTTGCAGCCCTGTCCGGTGTGACTCAGAAACTGCTGGTGGCATGGCAACTTCCAGCCATAGCAACAGGCAGCCATGACAACAGTCCGCGACAGTGACATCAGACAGCCATGACAACAAAGCAAGATGCACAGGTGAGTGCTGAGCTTCGCAGCCAGACTCAGAGATGAGGCCTGAAGACCGAGAAAGAAGGTGAGCAAATTCTGGGAGTCGCTTGAATGCTCAGAACCCAGAGTAGTCCCGCCCCGCCCACTCCGACCCAGCCTCGTAGGATGCCAGGGAAGAGCAAAGGAGCCAAGCCGAGTACGGATGATACCAAAGAGGACAGAAATGGGGAATTAGTGCAAAAAGACCCCAGGAGAGCAGACGGAAACAGTCGCCTGCTTCGGCCGAAGGAGGCAAAAAAAGCGAGTGAGGTACCCGAGGACCCCGACAGCACTCACCAGGGTCGTTCCTGCCCAAGGCAGGGCCCGCAATCAGCAGAAGCAAAAGCAGGCCGAGGAAGGGACAGCGCTGGGATCCTCCCAGCCCGCCGGCCACGGCCATGGCGCTGGGTGAAGATGGCGCACGGCTGCCAGACGCCGACGGGCCGCAGGCGGGCTGCGGAAGCGCGCTGCGCAACGACGCTAGGAGCTCTGGTGGCAGCCAAGGAACCGTCTGACTGCAGCGCCGCAGCCGCAGCAGGTCCGTGCGCCAACCTGACGTCACTGACGCTACGCTGCGCCGGGCGCTGTGAGTGGCTGCTGCCGGCCCCGCCTCTGCAGCACGCGTATCTAGGGGCAAGGCCAGGGGCGGGGTGGGCAATGTAGGCGGATCCAATGGCCAGACGGCACAGAGCCTGTGGGCGGGGCCGAGGGCGGGCGAAGGTTTGTTGCGTCTGGACTGTGATTCAGGAAGGTGCTCTGCGTAGGTGCTGTCATTTGAGCGCTTGAAATCATCCTTAGCGAACTCTTAAGAAACGTTGTCAAGTCATATACATTCAAAACCTCAACAACTTTCCCAAGGGAAATTATTGTGCTTTATTCAACTTTATGTGTTCAGCCCCTAGCATACCGTCTGGCACGTAATCGGTATTCTGTTACTGTTTGCTAAATACAGAGAAGATTCAGGTGAAAAGTAGCATGGGAATATATTATCTGGTCTCAGCTAAGAATATATACATAGTTCCTTGGACGTGGAGGCCGTAAGAATGTACAAAATGTCAGGAGGAGAAATTCTTGCCTGAATAAAGAATCAGCCAGAGAAAACAGCTCTCTAAGCTTGGTCGTCTGACAGGACTGGGTTTCTTTCATTAACTCATTCTACAAATATATGTCGAATATCTAATATGCACCCAGCAATGTTTTAGGCATGGAAGATACAGACAAGGTCCCTACGCTTCTGGAGCTTGTATTGAAGTAGAATAAGACAATATAAAAATAAAACAAGAAAAATAATAGGTAGTGGTAAGAGCATCAATGAAAATTAACAGAGTCATAAAATACAAACGGAAATGTAACGTTAGGGAGGGCCTTGCTGAGGAAGTGATTCTGAAGCTTGGAACCTGACTGATGAGAACCAGCCATACTAAATCAGGGGAGTAGCCTTCACAGGTTGGGGGACAGTGAATCCAAAAGCTGTGTTTTGAAGAGCAGTCTTTCAGCCGGATCCTTGAGATAAAGGCTCAGGTCCCACAAGGTTTCTCCCAGTTCAGACATCAATTACAAATCCCAGCTTGTGACCTATGCTTCTGACCAACCAGCAGTAAACCAGGGTCCCGTGACCCACCCACCCCCGTGTGATTAATAATTTGCTAGGGTGGTTCATAGAACTTAGGGAAAAATTGATTTACGTTTACAAGTTTATTGCAAAGGTAGAGATGAACAGCCAGATAACAAGATGGATAGGGAAAAGATAGGGGTGAGAACCATGAAGATGAAGCTTTCTGCCCTCTCTGGGTGTACACTCTCTCAGAACCTCCATGCATTCAGCAGCCTGGAAGTTCATGACATCTTTTTGTCCAAGAGTTTTGATCAAGCTTAACTTCTAACCATTCTCTCCCAACTTTCCTGGAGGTTGCTGGGTGGGCTGAAAGTTCTAACCCTCTAATCCTCTAATCACTTGTCTTTCTGGTTACTGCCCACCATTCTAAGGCTATCTAGGACTGGCCTAATTCATCTCATTAGCATAAATTCAGATGTTATCAAAAGAGCTTCATTATGAGCAGTCCCTGTGGCTCAAAGGAGTAGGGCACCGGCCCCATGTGCTGGAGGTGGTGGGTTCAAATCCAGCCCTGGCCAAAACTGCAAAAAAAAGAAAGAAAGAAAACTTCATTATGACAAAAGACACTCCTACAAATCAGAACATTCCAAGGACTTTAGGAACTTTGCGACTTTAGCTAGGAAAAAAGAACAAATCTTTTTTTTATTTTTACAACAGAGGCAGTGTGTTAAAAACCTCTGAGAGGCCAACCATGGTGGCTCACACCTGTAATCCCAGCACTTTGGGAGGCCTAGATGAGTGGATTGCTTGAGCTCAGGAGGTAGAGACCAGCCTGAGCAAGACCAAGACCCTGTCTCTAAAAATAGCCTAGCATTGTGGAAGGCGCCTGTAGTCCCAGCTACTTGGGAGGCTGAGGCAAGAGAATTACTTGTGCCCAAGAGTTGGAGGTTGCTGTGAGTTATGATGCCCTGGCACTCTACTGAGGGTGACAAGGTGAGACTCTGTCTCAAAAAAAAACCTCTGAAATATACCAATAGTAATGAGTGAACAAGATTTGGATCCTAATTCAAACTATGAAATATATAAAATAAATGACATTTATGACAACTGGATTAGACTAGATATATGATGATAATGAAGAATTATTTTTTAGGTTAAGAAAGTTAACCTAAACCTAAAGGTTAGGTTCTGATTACTGTACAGTCAGCCCTCCATATCAGTGGGTTCTACATCCATGAATTCACCCAACTGAAGATCAAAAATACTTATCATTGTTCCCTAAATAATACAGCATAATAACTATTAACATAGTATTTGCATCATATTTGGTATCATAAGTAACCTTGAGATGATTTCAAGTATAGAGGAAGATATGTATATGTTACATGCAAATACTACACTATTTTATATCTGTGCATCTGTGAGCTTGAATATCTGTGGATTTTGGTATCCATGGGGGGTCCTAGAACCAATCCCTCATGAATACCAAGGGGTAACTATACTATAGCTATGGTTTTTAAAAACATGGTGAAATATTTATCCTTTTAGAAACATACTAGAATATTGAAATTGAAATTATGTCTGGAATTTGCTTTCATCTTTTATTATCCCAGGAAGGATGTAAGGTTCTTTATTTAAAGCAGACTTCAAACCAAATCCCAAATAAAGGCAAGCACTTCCACCAAAAAGAGGAAGGCCTGGACTAAGAGACGACTCATCAGGGCAAAAAAGGCAAACCAAGGAATGAGAGCTCAAAGGGCTCAAGTGAGTACTGCACAACAGTTCCAAAACTTGCTGATTCCTTCCCAAAGTCATCCTGTTCCAGATATCACTTCTTTTTTTTTTTTTTTTTTTTTTTTGAGACAGAGCCTCAAGCTGTCCCCCTGGGCAGAGTGCCGTGGCATTACAGCTCACAGCAACCTCCAACTCCTGGGCTCAAGCGAGTCTCCTGCCTCTGCCTCCCAAGTAGCTGGGACCACAGGCGCCCACCACAACGCCCGGCTATTTTTTGGTTGCAGCCGTCATTGTTGTTTGGCGGGTCCGGACTGGGGATTCGAACCCACCACCGTAGGTGTACGTGGCTGGCGCCTTAGCCAGTTGAGCTATAGGCGCCGAGCCCAGATATCACTTCTGACACTACTTATGTCAACCTAAAAACAAACAGAGAGGCTTCCTAAAGAAAATTATATTTATCCAGGAATAAGGCATTGCAATGGGAATACGTGTGCCATAGTAAGCTTTGTGTGTATTCAGGGAGGTAGAGAAAGACAAAAGTTTTTATGTTTTATTTTGTTTTGTTTTGCAGTTTTTGTTTTGGCTCAGGCTAAGTTTGAACCCGCCATCTCCACTATATGGGGCCAGCGCCCCACTCCTTTGAGCCACAGGCACTGCCCAGAAAGACAAAAGTTTTTAAAGGGAAAATGAGGCAGATTACTTGTTTTAAAATAATTATTCTTGATTACAAAGATCACTAACAAGGGTGACTATAGTCCAAGTTTGGACAAGTAGTAGGTGGGCAGATATATTCACAGCAAAATATTTTGTATAAGGTTGCTGACCTTCGAGCAAGGTTGCAGTTTTTCTTTTCTTTTCTTTATTTTTTGAGACAGAATCTCACCATGTTACCCTGGGTAGACTGCTGTGGCATCACAGTTCAGACATCAAACTCTTGGGCTTAAGTGGTTCTCTTGCCTCAGCCTCCCAAATAGCTGGGACTACAGGCACATACCACAAAGCCTGGCTATTTTTTGGTTGTTGTTGTCATTGTTGTTTGGCAGGTCTGGGCTGGGTTCAAACCCACCAGTCCTGGTGTATGTGGCCCACACCCTAGTCGCTGAGCTACAGGTGCCAAGCCAATGTTGCAGTTTTTGAAGAGTCTGCTATTATAGTTTTTTAAAAGCTGAATAGCAGGCCCTGAGATATGGGCAGAAGAGCTTATATCCCTTATCGCAGAGGAAGATCTTGTGTGGTGGTGATGGGAGGAAAATTACTCCCTCCCACCGATTCCTCAGAAGAGATTAACACCAGTGGTGTTTACTCCACAGGGAACTAGCAAAGTTTAACACCTCCCTAGAAATCGGTGTGTGTGATCTCAAGAAGGAGGCTCTCCTAATACCAATCTCAGATTTCAGATTTCTTAAGGCTACTCAAATCCTTAAATAATCACAACAGGAGCTGATATGCTCACTCAGAGAAACTGCTGGTGTCTTTGTTCCCCCCTTATCTATTCTCTTGGCAAATAGACTCCAATAAAAACAGAGCGGAGCAAACACTTGGTGCCATTGCCAGAATCCCACAAAATGGGCAATGGACCTCTGAGTTCCCACCTTTAATTTGATTCTGTGTCTCATGTCTCTTTCCTTGACATTGTTTCTAACTCTGTATTTCTTCAGCTGGTTGCAGCCAGTTCCACAGGTCTTAGTGGACCCTGCCCCCATGGTGGGACCCCAACACAAACAATTAGGTTACAACATTTGCACTTGTAAGGCAGAGTCCCTGTGTTGTTGTGTCCTGCACCCAGATATACTCTCACTGTGTGCCCACTGAAAGCACACCCATCTCCCACTCTCCTCCCCTCTACCTCCATCTTGAATTGAGTTTTTCTCTTGTGTGGATACGGGTCTGCTGGTTTCATGTTAGTATTGAGTACATTGGATACTTGCTTTTCCATTCTTGTGATACTTTCCTAAGAATGTGTTTCAACCCCATCCAATGATTTTTAAGCTTTAAAATCTTTGCACAGGAATCATTTGAGGCGCTCGTTAAACTTTCAGATAACTAGGTCCTGCCTACAAAAGTTCTAATTCAGAAAGTCTGGAGTGGGAAGCAGGAATTTGGGAAGTGCTTTAAAGAACTCTGTTGTGGTGGAGATGGTCTTTGAAATACATTTGGAAACACTGTTTTTAAGGTCTCAAGTGACTATTCATTCCCTAGATAGCATTTGTAAACCAAAAATACTTCTCAGAGTGATGAGTGTTTTCCAGCTAGAAACACTGTGAATCTCTTGGGAAACTTAAAAGAGCACAGTCTCTTAGGATTCCGTTATCCTGGAAGACAAAGAATATTGAG